GTCAAGCTGGAGACTTTGTGGTGCTGCACGGCTCCGTGGTTGCGGTAAGTCTTCGCTGTGCTCGGCACTCTTAGGAGAAATGGTCAAGCACAACGGAGCGGTGTTTGTCGGGGCACGTGTGGCCTACTGCTCGCAGCAGCCGTGGATGGGATACATTCCCACCAGCGTCACTGTAGTGTCGAGCGTTTAGCGAGCGACGCGAAGATCGAATCTGACTGCGCCAAAAGATCCGCCGGCGGCCCGAACTCAACCACCTGGCCTGCGTCTATGACAGCAATCTTATTGCAATGCATGATCGTGTTGATGCGGTGCGCAATGGTCAGCACAGTCTTGTCGGCGAACGTCTGGCGGATGGTGGCCTGGATGAGCGCGTCGGTGGCCGTGTCCACATTGGCGGTGGCCTCATCCAGCACGACGATCTTGCTGTTCTTAAGCAGTGCACGACCGATACACACGAGTTGACGCTGTCCTACCGACAGATTGTCTCCCTTTTCTGAGAGAATGAGCTGCAAACCAGAGCCCCAACTGGAAACAGCGTTTGCGAGATGAACCTGCTTCAAGACTGTCCAAAAGTCAGCATCCGAGTATTCACCAAACGGGTCGAGGTTGTCTCGAAGCGATCCACTGAATAGTACCGGGTCTTGCGGAATGATCGCGAGGCTTCGTCTAAGGTCATTTAGTTTTAACTTCCGGGCATCCACACTATCGATACGAATGGTTCCACTTTCAAACCCACAGATACGGAAAAGCGCAATCATCAGGGAGCTCTTACCGGCACCAGTACGTCCGCATATCCCCAGCTTTTCGCCGCCACCGACGCTCATAGTCACACCGCAAAGTACAAGAGGTAGTTCCGGGCGATACTTGAGCTGCAAATTGTCGAATCTGATAGCACCTTGTGACGGCCACAAGGTATTGTTGATGGGAGACGCGTCCAGAGAGTCTTCCTCTTGCGGGATCTCACGGAAGTGCAGAATACGCTCGACACTCGTCATGGCGCTGTCTGTGCGGTCCACATCACGCACCGAAGACTGCACCATCGACGTCAACATGAGCGCGTATACAAGCGAAATACCCGAGAGTAAGGTGCCGAGCTGTCCTTTTGTCGCCACCAAGTAGAGCGATACCACAAAAATGACCACGACAGAGAGCGTATCCAGACGCACCGCCAACCACCGACCTGCTGCCCAGTAGACAAAGAAGAACGACGCGTTCTCATCCACAGCATCCGCGTTCATCTGCTCGAATCTCGACTGCATCTTGAAAGCGCGGATGGTCTGTACACCGTTTAAAGTCTCGCCCAATAAATTATACACTGCTCCAAGAGAGACTACAGCAGTGACGAATGGATTATCTACTCGAACAAAACGCCCTCCGTCACTCTCAGCGACAGAAAGCAGTGTGAGATCTCCTAGTGTCCGAGTGCAAACGTCCAGCGAAACAGCAGCTTCTTCGAGTCAAAGGGCACAGTCGCCATATACATCGCTGCATCGACATCAAACCAGGTCAGCAAAAGCTACTGCGCAGCTTTCATCTTTGCCCGACAAACCGGATGAAAAGGTTTCGCTATTGAGTACTGGTGAGGACATTGGAGAACCGCAGGAAGAGTCATTTGTTGATTTTGAAGGAGCACTCAGCTTCTCTAAAGCTCAGCAATTCGCAGAGTCAATCAGAAGCGATGCTCAACTACTGGAGGTGGAATTCTCGCTGAGTTTGCCACGC